TGACAACGATCGTGTTCAACACGACGACCGTCGTGTTTGACACGACGACCAGTGTGTCGGACACGACAACGATCGTGTTCAACACGACGACCATCGTGTTCGACACGACGACGACTGGGGTGAAAGTGTTCAAGAAAACTTGTTGACGTCACGGATAAACCAGCACTGGACACGGAGACTTTTCTCTTTCTCTCGCGCGGGGGGGGGGGGGGGGGGGGGGGGGGGGGTCGTGTTGGCCGAAGCGGCACTAACCTGGAGAGCGGGGCAGTTGTCGTGTCGACGTTGGCGGACGGCTGCGCTGATTCTCCCAGAACACGAACGGTGACACAATGTCGCGGGAGCTCATGTGCGCGAATCGCATTTCTGCTCTGCAGCTGAACGTCATCCCCGCGCCTCCGCTCCGGCCAAGGGGGGAAAACGATCGCGGCCGACTGCAGGCATTGGATCGCCCTGACCGTCCGTATTCCCAGATCGGACCGTCCGTATTCCCAGATCGGACGGCCAGCAGGCGCGCACGGAGGGCCCACCCGGAAAACCACTTATATGAGGAAGGCCCACCACTCCCCATCGGAAAATCCCGACCGTCAGTATTCCCGGATCGGACGGCCAACAGGTGCTCGCGGAGGGCCCTCCCAATCGGAGCACCCCGAGTTTGAAGGATCGGACGGTGAGGACACAACCACGCAGCCCAGATTCAACCACGTAACGCCACGTGGCACTTCCGATCGTCGAGTCGAACACGATGGTGCCCCATCGTCGAGTCGAACACGATCGCGCCCGATCGTCGAGTCCAATACGATCGTCTCCAATCGTCGTGTCGAACACGATCGTGCCCGATCGTCGAGTCGAACACGACAGTGCCCGACATGTACACGGTCGTGCCCGATGTCTGATTGTCGAGTCGAACACGACAGTTGAGTCGAACACGCTCGTCGACTCGAACACGACACTGCCCGATCGTCGAGTCGAACACGATAGTCGACCCGAACACGACCGTCAAGTCGAATATGATACTACCCGATCGTCGAGTCGAACAGGATAGTCGAGCCGAACACGACACTGCCCGATCGTCGAGTCGAACATGACACTGCCCGATCGTCGATTTGAACACGATAGTCGAGTCGAACACGACACTGCCCCATCATCGAGTCGAATACGATCGTCGAGTCGAACACGATCGTCGATTGCGTTCGTCGAGTCGAACACGCGATTCGAACACGATCGTCGAGTCGAACACGTTCGTCGGGTCGAAGACGATCGTCGAGTCGGACACGATCGTCGAGTCAAACACGATCGTCGAGTCGAACACGATCGTCGAGTCGAACACGATCGTCGAGTCGGACACGATCGTCGAGTCGGACACGATCGTCGAGTCGATCATGTTCGTCGAGTAGAACACGACCATCGAGTAGAACACGACCGTCAAGTCGAACACGATCGTCGACTGCGTTTGTCGAGTCGAACACGTTCGTCGAGTGCCCTGTCGAGTCGAACACGTTCGTCGAACACGTCGAGTCGAACACGTCGAGTCGAACACGTCGAGTCGAACACGATCGTCGAGTCGAACAAGTTCATCGAGTCGAACACGATCGTCGAGCCGGACACGTTCGTCAAGTTGAACACGATCGTCGAGTCGAACACGTTCGTCGTGTCGAACACGTTCGTCGAGTCGAACACGATCGTCGAGTCGAACACGTTCGTCGAGTCGAACACGAATATCGAGTCGGATACGAATGTCGAGTCGAACACGATCGTCGAGTCGAACACGACTGTCGAGTCGAACACGACCGTCGACTGCGTTTGTCAAGTCGAACACGTTCGTCGAGTGCCCTGTCGTCGTGTCGAACACGATCGTCGACTCTAGCACGATAGTCGAGTCGAACACGATAGTCGAACACGCTCGCCGAGTCTAGCACGATAGTCGAGTCGAACACAATAGTCGAGTCGAACACGATCGTCGAGCCGGACACGATTGTCGAGTCGGACACGATCGTCGAATCGATCACGATCGTCGTGTCGAACACGATAGGCGAGTGCCCTGTCGTTGAGTCGAACACGATCCTTCCCTGTCCTCTAGTGGAACGAGAATGTGCGTGGTGCAATGTCATCGAATCGTTCATGATTGTGTGCAGTGCTATGGACTGTGCATGGGTTTGGATTAAGCTCAAAGATTATGTGCATTGTGCTGTCGTGGGGCCTGGTTTGTTCCATTGTTGGTGGGAGCGGGGTGAATAGTTCTATGCTGCTGTTGGTTGTTCTATTACTGTTGTTGACCGTTGCCCTTGTGCCGTGCAGGGTGTCTTCTCTTCACTGTTGCTTTGGAGATCTCTAATATGACCCCAACACTTTGGCGTGCACTCAAGGCACACCCTTTCCCACCTTGCGCGTTGTACGTCCGACAATGTCAGGGTAGCGTAACCTATGAAGGCACTTGTCCAGAAGACTTCGAATGCGACCCTTGGATGAGAATCCTCCCGTTTGGCGACAAACGTTTGGACTCGTGGGAGGAGTGCGAGTGGGTGAACATGATGGAGAGATGCCCGTGGGCGTGCGATTATGAGTTCGCAAACATGTCCGAATTCGGCAAACGCATTCCCGTGTCGTTCGATGTGCTGCGTCCCGTCCGCTTGCCGCTACTGTGTAAAAAAACTAAAAATAAGCCGTGTTGTGGGGGGTTTGGACTGCGAATACGTGACAACCTCGCCTCACACCTGGTGCCGTGTTATGAAACAGGAGTTACTCGATTGTGCGGGACATTCTCAGTTCATCGATCATTATCCGTTGCGATCTCCCGGTCTGTCGCCAGGAGCAGTTTCGTATTGTTGTGTGAGATTGCGTCTGGCATACTTTATCTTCTGTAGGGTCCTCAGTATTGTCGTTTCAAGCAGGGCAAGAAACTTGACCAATGTTGTCGTGTATGCGTCTAGGAACGAGTTGTCTATGTCAGGGAGGGATATGTGTTTAGTTCAAAGAAGGGTAGATGGGAGACTGAATATCGTGGTGGGTGGCCAGGTGGAGGACGTTGTCGCATGGCGCAAGGTCGAGGCTAAAGTCCTTTGAATTCGGGATGCTATAGGTGCTTCTCTCGTCGGGAACTCCGGGTTCGTGCGAATGACATACCTTTCGATGTTTGCTGAGACGGCGCAGCAGCTGACCTTCGGATCACCAATTAGCGTGATGAATGGCTGCAACGACGAGATTGTTCCCCGTAGTCGGTAGACAGCCTTCGTCATACTGGATGGTCAAAACGACATACTGAATGCCCGAAATGGCCGCAACGGCGAGATTGTTTCCCGTAGTCGATAGACAACCTCGTGGAACTCGCATTGCGATTGTTGTTCTCAATGTGTTATTTCGATAACAATACGCGGTATCTGCTGGTTGTTCTTGATTGTTGTTCTCAATGTGTTATTCGATAACAACACGCGGTATCTGCTAGTTGTTCTCGTCATGTGTCCAGTGGCCAAAAGTACACACGTTTGACGTTGTTGTCCTCATATTGTTTTCCGATTCATTGAAACCCGGGAATGATGACGTGTTTTTGGTCGGCTTTGGACACCGAAACATCGCTGTCAGCCGAGTGTTTGATTGTTGTTCTCATATTGCGTTTCCTTTCGGGAAACAAAAACTTATTGTTCTGATGTTTTGCGTGCACAAACATTCAGCAGTCAATGTTTCTCCGTGTTAACCAGTGCCTGCGATCTGTTGTCTTGTGTTCTCGTGATCAAGTGCCCCTTTAGGCACCGTTCGCCGAGCATTGTGTCGAACCCGACAAATGTCGCACAACACACCCCAGTGTCGCTGTCGTGTTCGACACGATGGTCGCCAGACGGTGCCCGAAGGGGCACTTGGTCGACTGTCGAACGGCGGACGACACTGTCGCTGTCGTGTCGAGCACGACAGTCAGCTCCACTACAGGCACCGTTTGGCGACCATCGTGTCGAACACGACATGGACACTATTATCTGGCGACCAGACGGTGCATGAAGGGCCACTTGGTCGATTGCCGCACGACAGACAACAGTGTAGCTGTCGTGTCCGACACGACGGTTGGTCATCCCGCGCAGTGTCGTCGGGTTCGACACGACAGTGACACGGCGACACCCCAATGTCGCTCTCGTGTCGGATTCGAGACGGTGCCCGAAGGGGCACTTGGTCGACTGTCGAACGGCGGACGACAGTGTCGCTGTCGTGTCGAACACGATGGTCAACTCCCCTTCAGGCACCGTCTGACGACCATCATGTCGAACACGACATGGACACTGTTATCTGTCGACCAGACAATGCATAAAGGGCCGTTTGGTCGACTGTCGCACGACAGACAACATTGTAGTTGTCGTGTCCAACACGACGGTTGGTCAGCCCGCGCAGTGCCGTCGGGTTCGACACGACACGACGACACCGCAATGTCGCTCTCGTGCCGGATTTGACGGTACTGGAGGACGTCGTGGCATGGCAGTTAAGTTCGACACGATAGTGAAACGACGACGAGCTGGCGGGCTGCGGCCCGCTTCAATTGCTCTATGTTCCTGTCTACTCTTGTTCTCAAGTGCTGTGGTGTTTGCACGTTGGCAAAGCAATGACTGCTTTCTCGCTTGTGCGTTTTCTTCAGTTGCGACTAGCTGCTGGGCATGGATCGCGAGGGGAAGCCAAGCAAACGACGTACTAGTGCTGGTTCCGGGAGCATGGAGCAGTCTTCGAAAAAAACGAAGGGGACACGGAAGACTGGCGTGGGGGCTGGGGACACACCGGGATCTAAGGGTCACCGAACCCCGGTGCTGTGGGGTGCACCTTCTACGGGCACTCCTTCCGCCCATGTTCGAGGTTTGGGACCAGATTCGGTTGTGCTGATGAGTGGTGGGGCTGCGGGTTGAGAAGATGAGGCTACTCGTCGGCAGGGGAAATCTGCAATGGATGTTGTGCCGAGGCGTAAAAGGTCTAGTGACACGTCCGCTGCAGGTATGGGAGACGAGGTGCCTGTCGTCGACCACAAAGACAAGTGTTGGATGTTGGACTGGGTGGGTGGAATAGGGGAACCCTCGGGTGGGCTGGTTTTGTACGTGGTGATCAAAGATAATATTGTTCCGATTGGCGGTGTGGTGAAGTGGAGTGGAGGAAATTCACAGTTCGCCATGTTGGAGTTGACGATGGTCCTTAACACTAGAGGTGAGCGGATTGCGAATGTCAAACGCGTTGCTCTTCATTGGGCCAAACACGCTGGGTACGGCAAAAAGCTTTATGACATTTTCAATCCGCCTGGGACGGAGAAATTGACGTTGCCGGACCTTCGATCGGTTTTCACATTCTTTGACAGACATGTGGTCGCAGGGCATGAGCCGGTGGTGCATGCTTCCGACTGCATATCTAAACCGAAAAGCATGCTTTCGTCGTCTTTGGAGGCGGGTCCGTCGTCGAAACCGATCATTATAGGTGCCCGCCCTCCGCCATCAATTCGGACTACAGTTGCTGCAACATGAGTTCCGAAATCAGGGCAGATCGGGGAGAAATGTCCGTGTCGCGGCCAAATCGTGTCGTCAGCCCCTGTGAAGTGTAGACCAACATCAACCAAGGAACCCGTTTCCTTGGTCCGCCCGCCGCGCTATGAGTTGGTCATTCCTGCTGGGTCGCATTATTTTGGAGATGACGACGAGGAGAACATCGAAGAAGAATGGGAGCGCGATGAAGAACGCGAAGAATGTGAGGAGGGTGGCGAATAAGAGGAAGTAGAGAGTGAACAAACAATCAGCGAAAGGGGTGGGCCGGGCGAGTTGGAGGGTCGTCTAGGGGCTGAGTATGAGGACGAAGGGCAAGAAGAGGAAACAACCGGCGAGGGAGGGTATGCAGATGTGTATTGGGGTTCCAAACGAACGCAGCGGCTCGCGCCGGGTCATGGGCATTGGGAAGCGGATCCAGGGCGCGGGGAAATGCACCGCGAAGTTGGGGTCGAGCCGGCGCATGACGATGCAGTACGACTAGCTGAGAAGAAAAGGAAGATGAGGCAAGAGAGGAGAAGTGCTATGGACAGTAAGAAAACCAAGCAGGAGGGGGGAGCCAAGCAAGAGGAGGTCAAACGCACGTTGAAAATGCTGGCAGTTGAGGAGGTCGTCCAACGTACGCGGGAGGCTGAGGAGGCCATGAAGAAAAAACGACAGCCAAAGAAAAAAGCAGCGAAGGGAGGTGTGATGGAAAAAACTTCCGTTTTTCCACCGGACCAGCTACAGTTGGATGAAGACGTTGTGGGCAAGACAGTCACCAGACCGCCCGGTTTGCAGATTCTGCCGCATGGGAATTCTTCTGGTCATCTGAGCAAAGACTTCTTCCTTGAGTTCGACGAGAATGGTAACCAGAGGCCGGAAATGCAGTTCATTTCTGTCAAGTTGGACAGGATTCTGGATATCCCTGATGAGGAATTCAGATATAATCAACCCTTCCTCGATCAGGAGCTTATTGATAACCTTTACAAAATAATGGTTGAGTCGGGTAAGGCAGCTATCAGAGAGAGAACGACCGGGGCAGCCGGGGTGAATGTATGTGCATTGTACGAGAAGCCTGTCCTTCTGTTGATTGGGCTACATGATACAATGCATACTAACGCTTCCGGTACGAATGTGAGGGTGAGAAGAGTGACGCCCCGCGAGTTCGATCTCCAATCCGTGCGCAAGTACTACAGGTACTCTCTCAGTGATCAACACAATGTTGTAGCGGCGAGGAAATGTTCTCAAGAACGCCCTGACATCGTCCGTGAGCTCCGTTTGGATTGCTAGACTGCAAGGCCTGTTTACTATCCGGATAGGAGCATGGAAAATTACTGCACCTTGAGCACTTTCCAAAATGCGAAGGACAAATGGAATACTTCCCCGCACCAGATTGCTATCATTAAGAACATACGAAAGTTGTGGCAAGCAGTCGGTCGTCCAGAAGCTATAGGCGGATCTGCTGCAGACGTAAAAAATAAGGATTACAGAGAGTTTGCGGCGAAGGCTCTGCGCGCGACCGGAAGTGATCATTTGGTTACTCTTTCACTTCAGCTTTGGAGCAAGGAGTGGTCCGATGTCCTCGGGCCTTACATGATATTGGCAAGGGCGACGGACGATGTGTTCGAGAAGGGTGCAACAAGTGTATTCTACTTGGGAGAGTGAACAGTTGCCGGGGAGAGATGGTGTGAAGCCTGCCACCAAACAAGATGAATCGGGGAAAGCGCCTAGACCTGGCCCCAGATTCGAGTTGGAAAAAGGAGTCAGGGTTCCAGTGCACTGGATTCAGGGTACTAGAGGACCTGGTTACCTCGTGGCTATGCACGATCTGGATGTCAGATCATGGAAGGCTATGTCTACGTTGGGGAGGCGTGAGAGGCTGCAGCTGTTGAGAGACATTCTCACGGGAAGTGTCGTACTAGCTCCAAGGCTAAGTAAAGTTGCTTACACTACAGGGAACCATTTGATGGAGACATACGTGGAAATGGTGAAGCAGGAAAGAGCAATGTTAAGAATGTTTTACTACTTCGTCTTCATTTCTGACCCTCACAAGAAGCCGTCAGAGTGGAAGGAACCATTCGTCGACAACCTTTCTAATTTGTTCGCTAGGTATTATGATCATGGATTGACATCGGAGAGGTGGATCCACCAACGACGGCATTTCAAAGAAACGAGTTGGGTGCGGTCATTTCCAACTACACTTGGAGGCGAGGATGAGAAAGGAGAGGAGGGCTTCAAGAAAACAAAATCCCTTGCAAATAAATGCCCCGAAGAGTTCATTCAATTTGTCAACAAGTTGTTGCGTAGATTTGAAACTGGGGGTTCGCATAGCATTCGTATGTCGGGACAAGCGAGATACATACATTCCAGAAACAGGACGTGACATCTGTATTCGTGTCGTTCCAGTGGGAACCGAGCGATGTTTCAGACGAGATGGATTGCAAGGAGATGTTTAGAGCCGTCAGACACCTGACGTGCCACACAGTCGTCCTGGATTTGTGCTGCCCGACCCAGATGGGTGCGTGGACTGAACAAGTGTTTGCTGGACTTAAGAAGTTCATGGACAAACTTGGCGGCGAGTATTGGACATTGTTGTGCTTCGTTCCACGCCCTTGCGAGTTCACATTCTTGAGGCGAGTCACGATGTGGGACATTTAATTGGATCTTCTCAAATGGACTCGTCTACAACAAACAAAGGGGAAAGTGTATAAGGTTGCAAACTTGCCTTTGGAGGACACAGACAGAATGGTGGTCATCATGTACTCCAACGACGGGGATTTTCATCGCAACACTGTTCCCTTGTTTGAAGATATTCAAGCTGCAGGTCCATCATCTGCCGAGCGCGTGACTGACATATCGACACTTGTGCGGAGAGAGAGAAAGCCGAAGATGTTGACTGATGTCGTGGAGAAGAACTTTCTACCATCAAAGTGGAAAATGGCAGGTATGGATCCACCGGAGAAAGTGGTCTATGATGGTATGGAAAGGGAGCCGAATGCGATGGTGGAGACATTGGAGCATTTTTGTCMTGCRGATGAGRCTGTCGTTTTCCTCGGGAAAGGTCATGCGGGATTGGTTTGGGAGCTGTTAAAGAGTCACCGTCATTGCATTGTGCTGGAAGGGGAGGGTATGAAGTTCGAGTTCCTCATTCAGTTCATTGACAAAATGGATAAAACTCGAGATTACCGCTCCAACTTTACTAAGCCGCCTCCTCGACATGATGAAGGGCATAATCTCGTCTACAAGGTTGGCCAAAACGTGGTCAATATTTGGGAGTTTCTCTTCGAAACAAAGCCGCAAGACAGAGGGGAACATACTTATGTCCTCAGAAGAAGAAAAGTGGAGAAGCTCTTGAGGGGTTATCATAAAGCACCATCGGAGAAGGAGGTTTCATTTCTCGACCGCTTGGAGACCAGGTACTTCGACCAACAAATCGGGGCGTTTACAATCGCAGGTCATGCGACTTGTTTTGTGGATGGTGAGGACTTTGATGCCGACGACTCAGAAGAAGAGAGTGTTGATGGCACTTTGCAAGCGGCTTTGGCAGCTGAGAGGCAAAGAGCTTGTAGCCCGGGTTCGCAGAGCATGGGTGTTCCAGGCACATCGTCCGGTTCTGGAGGAGCTTCGAGCATGGCGGTTTCAACGGGTCAGTTAATGACTCAGCCGCCGACTTCTTCTTGTTACGCCAACTCAGATGGTGGGCAATACGATGACGGTGGCATACGGAGGCAGTCTGGATCCGAGTGTTCTAGCAATGCTCTCCCCAGAGTTGGTGGCAACTCTGACACCATTTGCACACAGCCCAAGTACTATTATGGAATTGCTACGCTCTCGAACTCCACAACAACCTCCACCTGATGAGCTTTTGGAGTACGAGATTGGAGACACAATCCCTGCAGACATTCGACTGCTTCCGGGGCCTATAGTGTGCCGAGACGATTATACGGTGACGGATGATGCCACATGGGGTCATCACATTATATGGCACCCCCAACACTTCCAACCTGCATTAGCGAGAGGGAGGTGGGTTATGGCTACAAAAGAAGAAGGGGAGTGGCAGTTTTGCCTCCATAGATGTATGTCAGGATCAAACTTTCTGAAACATGCCAAAAATCAGATTGCCAAGCGACTCCAGCGTCTTAATCCGGAGGTTTCTCAATCAAGACTAGATGAAAGAACAGAAGAAAATTTCCAAGAGTTCAAAATATCGCAGTGGCTTAAGTATCTGGAAGAGTTTTATGATAGACAAACCAGCCCGGCTTATGGATATTATTGGCATGTCAGAGAAGATCTTGGGGAGAGGAAAAAATCAAGCAGCGGTGGTGACCATGGCAAGGGATCCGGATCGAGCGGAGGTGCGCATGGCAAAGGATTGCGATCGGGCAGCGGTGCAAGTGACAAGGGTACGGAACCGAATGACGGTGCAAGCGGCAAGGACGCAAGTCGTGGGGAATGGCCAACAAACTGAAAAGTCTAAGGGGCGTCAAGCAACAGAAGGCAAGGGATCAGCACCAAGCGGCGGTGGGCATGGCAAACCTACAAGACCAAGCGGCAGTGGTTCAACTGTCGAAGGGTCTCAGGGGCCTTAAGAAACAGAGCGCAAGGGATCAGGATCGAGTGGTGGTTCAACTGTCGAAGGGTCCCACGGTCGAGTCGAACACGACAGTGTCCTCGCATTGGAGCGTTCCCGGCTTGACCGAGCGAAGAGTCACACGGTCGAGTCGAACCCGACAGTGGGATCGAAAACGATCGCCGGTGCGACTGGCAAGGCTTAGGGACCTCGATCGGAAACGATGGCCGGTGCGACTGGCAAGGCTTCGGGACCACGGGGGGGCAGTACAACTATCGGCGGTGCTTCACCTGTCAAAGAGTCACGCAGTCGTGTCGAACACGACACTCGTCCAACAGTCACTATCGAGTCGAACCCGACAGTGGGAACGAGATCAATCGTCGGTACAAGTGGCAAGGCTTCGGGACCAATCGACGTTGTTTCACCTGTCGAAGGGTCACACGGTCGAGTCGAACACGACAGGGGTCCACTATTAGAGCGCTCCTAGCTTGACCGAGCGGAGAAACTCGTGGTTGAGTCCAACCCGACACAGCAACGGGGATCGATTGCCGGTGTGAATGCCAAAACTTCGAGATGAAAAGGCGGTGTGAGTTGCGAGGGCGTGAGTACAGCTGACCAAGTTTGGGCGACTACAATACTAGTGGGCGACAGTGTCGCGATGGAAGTGGATATTACTGGTACACTCACGGAATTGCAGATGACGTCGTCGACGATGAAGGCCGAAGTAAGCGGCACTTTCCAGGATACTTTTGAGGGCGTCAAGGAGGAAGAAACTTTCCATGTACAGGGCATCGAAGAGGATAAAGGACATATAGTACTAAGTACACCGGAGCAAGTTGTACTTGTACAACCTCAACAAACGCTTGAACAACCTCAAACACCACAGTCTGCTAACCTCATGATAGCTATCGAGGAATCTCCTATTGCGCCATTGCATATGGAAGGTGTGACAGAAGGTCGTGTTGAAGAAAAACTGAGAGTTAGCCATCGAGGTGAGCACTTTCTTATCTTAGGAACAATATCTAATACTATATGCGGATTAGTGGGTACATCACATGCATTCATCTCCCATTCTGTCAATCCCTCAGATGTATTGTTTATTTACCTGGCTTTGGAACTGTGCGTTTTCTGAAGAGAAATACTGGAATTGTTTTGTATGAAGACTTAGTGCAATTGCCATATATTTTCTATTGGTATTTATGAGTCAGTTTCAACAACGGAAAGTCGGACTTGTAACTCATTATGTTTTATTTTGTCAATCATGCAGGGCGATGAAAAGAACTGTGGAAAACGACACCTGTACATTCGCAAAGGAAGAGAGAGAAAAATATCATTCGTCGTGGCTTGCAAGCTTTGTCAACTTTGTCGTTATTGCCAAAAAATGAGAGAAGAAGTCGTACGCCCATGACATTTCTATCTGTGAAGCCCGCCTTAAGGATGTTTAAAGCTGTTGGAATAAGCCTCACAGAAGGGAAGAAATTGCATCGCGCGGGTTGCAGTTTATCTGTTATGGATAGCAGCACTGATGACGAAACAGATAGACAACCAACAACATGAGTTCATATCTATGTAGTCTATCACTTGTTTTTGTGTGAAGTCTTAGTCGCTCTATTGTTGTTTATATGTGTGTTTGTATGCAGTGCATGACCCTTCGTTCCAGATTCCTTTAGCAACAGTACGCCTTATTGTAGAAGAAAAGGAGTATCTTGAAATGGTTACCGGCAACACTGAAAAGAATGAAGAATACGGCATTGTCGATTACAAGGGGAGGTGGAAGGTGGAAAAGAAAAACGCCATGCTCGCCGCCAAAGATGGGGAATGGTTAAATGATGAAGTCGTCAATTTGTACCTGCTAGTCGTTCAGATCACCAATGACTACATTAAGAAGGTGGATTCGACATGTGCAGAAGTGGCAAAAGATGAAAGTTCTTATAACATTCTATCTGTGCATATTCTAAATTCTTTTTTCTTTCCTAGATTGTCAAAAGCTCAGTCCGCTGAAATCGCATACTCCGAAGGGACAAGATGGGTGAAGGACATAAATCTTTTCAATTTTGATTTGGTAATTATCCCTCTCCATTTCGAAAATCATTGGGTTTTAGCTTATGTCAGTATAGATCGCTCTGAGTGTAAATTCCGCCTCGTAGACTCTCTCCATCGTGTTGACTACGGACCAGCCCTCGAATTTTTGGCAGGTTTTTTCAGAGCGGAGTTTCAGCGACAAAATCTTCGGAAAAAATATCATGTGGAGGGGCCTGCATCCTACTTTGATACATCAGTAGATGCGATTCCTGCTCAAAAGGATTCTTCTAGTTGTGGTGTTTTTATATTAGGTTTTGTACCTTTGTTTTCAAAAGGTCACTTCCCTCCGTTCAGTTTCTCACAAGATAGTATTCTTGATATGAGACTTAGAATAGCATTTGACATTTTGTCCATGGTTAGATAGGAAAGTCAATGAGAATTCAGGTTCTAGGTTTGGAAAAATGAGGTTGACATGTTTACTTAGTGTGAACATTCCGGGTGAAAATGTGTATTGTAGGCAATTTTGAAAATATATTGACAATGTATAATGACATTTCCTAGTCTAAGACTTCTCATCAGTTTTTGATGAGGGCTCAGTGGGTGGGCGGAGGGGACCAATGAAATCCATCGAGATGGACTGCCAACGACCCTCGGGTATGGGTAAAGGCTGAAATAACTCATGTGGGAGGTGGTTCGCACTGTTCACCTCCTGACAGGTAGGACACTCCTGGATGTAGGCTTTGACGAAGTCCTTGGACTTCGGCCAGACGTATAGGCGGCAAATACAAGTCAACGTCTTGTAGAAGTCCATATGACCGACACCTGCCTGGTCCTGGAACTCTGCTACAGCCTGAACGTGGAGCTGTCCGGTGGAGGGAATGCAGATACGTGGTTCTAGCTGACCAGATCTGCCATGCCAGTACACAAGGTCGTTCTCCCCAAGGGAGTAGGAAGGAACGGTCTTGCCACTCCGCAGTGTCGCGTGGATGACGCGATAATCAGGGCAGTGGCAGTACTGAGTGCGATATGCGTCAATCACCGACTGATCAACAATGGTGATGGAGATGACAGCAAGATGGACAGGTTCCTGATTGTGATCAGGACGACGGAACAAGGCATCGACGACGTGGTTCGTTTCACCCTTGATGGGTTGAGTGGTGAAACTGAACTCGGATAAGTCACATCACCAGCGTGCTTGTCGAGGGAAAAACTTAGGTTTCGTGAGGAAAGCCTGGACAACTGAGTTGTCCGTGCGCACCGTGAAGGGCGCCCCGTGCAGATAATGACGCCAATGTCGGGTAGCATAAACTACTGCGAGAACCTCACGTTCATCGGCAGTGTAGTTTATCTCGGCAGGAAGTAGCTGGCGGGAGTAGAAGGCGATCGGGCAATCCCCAGCACGAGCCTCAACAGTCCCATCCTCCACGATGGTCCGACAGTAAGTAATAGGAGGACTGTCAGCGGAGGGAAGTGGTGGGAGGATAGGCGTTAGTCGAGAAGCAATGTCAACAGGAGGGGGGGGGAAATGAGGAACATGTGGATAAGGTGAATCGGGAGGAGAGGGAAACACCTGAGAAAGTACTGCCCCTACTGCAAAATCTGACGCATCAGTGGTGACGATGAAGGGGCGATCAAAATCTGGGAGGCGAAGAACCAGCGCACAAGTCACTGCCTTCTTGAGGGCGCAGAAGGCGTCCTCGCAGAGGGGTGTCCAAAACCACGACGGGTTCTTCTTGAGGAGGGTGGAGGTAAGGACGTAGGAATACCTAGCGTATCCCTGGATAAAATTCTTATAGTAGCTGGTGAGGCCTAGGAAACTGCGAAGCTGCTTGGCAGACGTGAGGACGGGTCACTCTGCAATAGCAGTGATCTTCGCGTCGTCCATGTTGAGACCCTGGTCAGACACATGGTGTCATAGGAAGTCCACTTTGCGCTGAGCAAAGCGACACTTACTAAGCTTAGCATAGAAGCCATGCTTGCGTAAGCGCTGTAGGACATCGCAGAGGTGTCTGATATGGTCTTATAAGGTACAACTGTAGACCACGATGTCGTCCAGGTATACGAGAACGTTTCTTCAAGGATGTCCTTGAAGATGTCGTTCATCGCCGTCTAGAAGGTGGCGGGTGCATTGGTGAGGCCGAATGGCATCACCGTGAACTCGTAGTGGCCGAAGCGTGACCGAAAGGCGGTCTTCGGTTGATCCTCTGTGGCAACGCAGATCTGGTGATAACCGCTACGAAGATCGATCTTCATGAAGAAGCGGTTGCCTGCCAGACGGTCAAACAACTTATCCGCGCTGGGAGTGGGATAGTTGTTCTTAACCGTGTAATGGTTAAGGCCGCGGTA